ATTTTATCACAGATTTTAGTTGATTTTATCACAGATTTTAGTTGATTGTATCATTGATTTTAGTTGATTTTATCACAGATTTTAGTTGATTTTATCATTGATTTTAGTTGCACTCTGTAGCACTTTGAGATTTTTGTTAATGAAAAGTGCGTTACAAATTAAATTCATTATTATTATTATTAATTTTTCACCAGGATCTTTCATTGATGACTAGGTTCTAGTCATGATGGGTGCATCACTTCACCTGCCTCTCTTCTTACCCTGATGCACCCATCACTCTGGAACAGGGTAAATCTGGACTCATCAGACCACATGACCTTCTTCCATTGCTCCAGAGTCCAATCTTTATGCTCCCTAGCAAATTGAAGCCTTTTTTCCCAGTTAGCCTCACTGGTTAGTGGTTTTCTTAAGACTACACAGCAGTTCAGTCCCAATACCTTGAGTTCCTTCACATTGTGTGTGTGGAAATGTTCTTACTTTCACTTTTAAACACAGCCCTGAGTGCTACTGTTGTTTTTCTTCCATTTGATTTCACCAAAAGTTCAAGTGATCATGGATCACGATCATTCAGGATTTTTTTTCAGGCCACATTTTTTCCTCGAAGACGATGGGTCCCCACTATCCTTCCAGTTTTTAATAATGCGTTGGACAGTTCTCAACTCAATTTTATTAGTTTCTGCATTTCCTTAGATGTTTTCTCTGCTTGATGCCATTGATTTGACCCTTCTCAAACAGACTGACATCTTTTCCACGACCACACGACTTGGCTTTCAACATGGTTGTTTAAGAAATGAGAAGCAACTCATTGCACCAGTTGGGATTAAATAACTTGTTGCCATCTGAAAGATAATCGCCCATGCAGTAATTATCCAATAGGAGGCTCGTACCTATTTGCTTAGTTAAATCCAGTTGGCAACTCTTTTTTTTTTGACCATGCAGTGTATTTCTTTTTTAACATGTGATTCTTGACCTGCCATTGTGTATCTTTTATTACCGGTCGAAGCAGATGTGTGTCCTGAGCCTGATTCTTCCACGAGTGAGTTTTTCCTTCCCACTGTTGCCTTCATTAAAAAAAAGGCTAAGATGGCCACGCTCTCTGGAGCCTCACAGAATCCCAGTGCGAGCCCAGTTTTTAGGAGTTTTGAAATTGACTCTGTGTCTGACTCCGCACGATTTATGTGAATTATAGCTGAACCGAATTTTGGGACCCTGAGTACACAATCTCATTCCACCACATGCACCACATGTGGTGTGAATGACAATAAAGAAACTCTGACTTCATGCTTGCTCAGCATGAGAGTCTGTGATGACGTTAAACTCAAATCAGTCTGCTCCTCAGATAAATAATGTTGTTAGTTTACTTTTTATGTATATGAATATTTCTATGCAGTACCCTGAGTTGACTTCTATTGCGACTTGGCACTGTATACTGTAAATAAACTGAATTGTCCAGAACAGTCTTGTAAATGAGATTTTAAGTCTCAATTCGTTTTCTTGCTTATATAAAATAAATAAAGTCCTGAAATTGTGTGAATAAACATCAATAGTCAATTAACAATATACAGTAGCTTTCTGCATTTGAAACTGAAACATACAAATTTAATTTTGTGGCTACCATATACAACATATATACAAATTTATTTTTTTCTTTGGGCATGCGCGTCAGAAAATATTTCCCTGCGACCATAACAGGAACTGAAATCCACGCGCGTGCAGGACTTGTTATCTTGGGCGGCACTCATCAACTACTAAAGTTTTCAGACGTTCTTCCATTCTGGACCAATCACGAGCAGCCTTTGACTTGAACAGCCAATCAGAATCTAAGAATAGTCTAGGGGGCGTTTCTCAGAAAGAAGTGCGGCGGTGTGGCGCATCCTCCCGGGCCGAGAAGAGTTCGGCTGGGCGGGTGTTGCTGGATGGCGGGGGAGTACCACTGATGAGAGAACGGACCAAGAAAAGGGAGTCTTTAGCGCGCATCGTAAAGGACGGTTCTGGATTCGCTCTGAAAGCTGTAAAACACCGGGGCAGGGTGCCTTCATCTATTGCGCGTGGTGAGTTTAAAGAGCAGCCCGGGCCGGGTGCTGCTGGGATAAAGCGGTTAGCAGCAGGGACCGTTAACCGTTAGCTAGCGGATTATTGTGCCGTGACTTTTTATTGATGGAAGACCTTCAGCTCTGCTAATGTTAGCCATGCTAGTCCTGCCTGTTTTGTTTAAATAATAATAAACCTGCGTGTGCAGTGTAGGTTTACTCTTTTAATGAAACGACGTGGTCATTGTCTGCCTGCTTTTATCGTGAGCCAGACGTCAGAGCCGCCCACACCCAGGATGATGGGATTTACCGGCGGAGGCTGAACAATATATTCATTGCACCCGCTCTCCGTCTATATTCCGAGGGATAAAAGCTCCACAGGAGGTCACGGTTATCCCTGTGTAGTTCTGGCCGGCATCGTTTGAACCTGGTGGGGGGCATCTCAGAATGCCAACTTTGAGCTAACGTTAGCGGCTAACTTAGCCTGTGCAGCTGGTTGGCCTGTCCCGGGGACAAATCGAGATGATTGTCCAGGTAACGACAGAATCAGTGTGTTGATCCGACAGCATTGGACAGTTTCACTAGTAGAGCTCCAGCTGAACATGAGGACCAGAAGTGACAGCAGGGATGCTGTGACACAAAAACCAGCTGCTGAGTCCCCCCTCCTGTGACCTGACCTGGATTAGGACCTCACCCCGCCTGCAGGTTATAAGTCTCATCAGCTCAGATGCAGTCTGGAGGGGTGTTTTTGCTCTTATATATATATATTTTATAACAGATTAGTATCTGTTGACAGCGTCAAGTTGTTGCAGCTCATAAACTCCACTCACTCCTCTGAAATAATTGTTGTCTTTACCCTAGTGAATTTAACATTTCTGAAACACTATCTGTTACATCTTCAGCTAATGATAGCCATTATTAATGAATGTATTAATGAATTAATGCTAATTGTAACTGTCTGTAGCTCAAGGCAACCAGCCAGACCTGATGGCAAAATCAACAACTTCTTACTTTAAAAAAGTTAAATCTTTAAAATATTCTGCTTGAAAACAAGTCTCTCTTGAAAACGAGTCCTTTTGATTCAGTGAGACTAAACTGCATAAATAAAGGTTGAATGAATGAACGAAATAACCAATTAAACTGAAGAAACGCCTATTTCAAATAGCAGATTAATGAATTAGTATTTCTATAGTAGAAACCTGGGCAGCACGGTGGCGCAACTGGTAGAGCTGCTGCCTCTCAGCGAGCAGGTCCCTGGTTCAAACCCCAGTCCAGGGGCCTTTCTGGGTGGAGTTTGCATGTTCTCTCCGTGCATGCGTGGGTTTTCTCCGGGTACTCCGGTTTCCTCCCACAGACCAAAAACATGCATGTTAGGCTGATTGGTAACTCTAAATTGTCCCTAGGTGTGAGTGAGAGAGTGAATGGTTGTTTGTGTCGTTTGTCTCTATGTGGCCCTGTGATGGACTTGCGACCCGTCCAGGGTGTACCCCGCCCCTCGCACAGTGATTGTTGGACATGGGCACCAGCGACCCCCGTGACCCAAAAAAATGGAATAAGCGGGTAAAGATAATGGATGGATGGATGGATAGTAGAAACCTATTACAACTTTTGACTTTTATTTAACAGACACAAATGCAACAAAAAAAAGATTTTTCACTGTTTTCAGTGGCTAACTTGTATCAGTATATATGTCATATTTATGGTATATGGTCAGTGAAATCATTGATGTTTTTTTGCTGCTTCAGTTTAGGTTTTAGTTTTTTTATTCATGTTGACTTTTGGATCATCCCAGTCTCAAAACGCTCTACAGTGACTGGTCTGAATGACTATCGGCCAGTGGCTGTCACCCCGATAGTCGCTAAATGCTTAGAAAAACTGGTCATGACCCACATCTAAACAACCATCAACATCAACGAGGACCCTCATCAGTATGCATGCCGCGAGAACCAATCAACAGAGGATGCCATCTCCTCTGTGGTCCACACTGCTCTCAACCACCTGGAGCAGAAGGACTCTTACATCCGTATGCTCTTTGTGGACTTCACATCTGCCTTCAACACCATGATCCCACAAACCCTGATGGACAAACTATTCACACTAGGACTAAGCCCCTCCATTTGCAACTGGGTCGTAGACTTCTTAACAAACAGACCACAGTTAGTAAGGATCCACAACCTCTCCTCCTCCACCATAACCCTCAGCACTGGCTCTCCTCAGGGATGTGTGTTGAGCCCCCTCCTGTTTACTCTGCTCACGTATGATTGTGCAGCTACCCATCCAGGCTGTCACTTTGTAAAGTTTGCAGACGATACAGCGGTGGTGGGATGCATCACAAACAATGATGAGTCCAGCTACAGGCAGGAGGTGGAACACCTGGAGAGCTGGTGCAAAGAGAATAATCTTCACATCAATGTGAAGAAGACAAAGGAGATGATTGTGGACTTCAGAACGAACAAACACACCTACACCCCCCTGAACATAGGAGGATCTGCGGTGGAAGTGGTCTCCAGCTACAAGTACGTGGGTGTACACCTGAACATCTACGTCAGCTGGAGCAACAACACCACCAGCCTGATCAAGAAAGCTCATCAGAGACTCTACTTCTTCAGATGGCTGAGGCGAGCTGGTCTGGGAAGCTCAGTCCTCACCTCCTTCTACAGGTGTGCAGTGGAGAGCATCCTGTGCTCCAGCATCAATGTGTGGCATGGAGGCTGCACAGCTGCAGAAAGAAAAGCTTTGCAGAGAGTGGTGAAGGCTGCACAGAAGTCTGTTGGAGTCAGTCTCCCCACCATCACACACATCTACACTTCCAGATGCAGGAAGAGGGTCACCTGCATCATGAAGGACCTCACTCACCCAGCACACAGACACTTTTTGCCTCACTCCCCTCAGGAAGGAGGTTGAGGAGCATTAAGTGTAGAACCACTAGACTGAGGAACAGCTTCTACCCTGAGGCTGTTAGACTCATGAATCTCTAACTAGAATAATCACTGTGAAAATAATCACATCATTTTGTTGCTGATCTGTTTCATGTTGCTGCTGATCTGTTTCATTCTGCTGTGTTCATGCGTGCTCATCTGCTCACACAGACTCATGCTCTTGTTCGTGCTCCTGTTCAACGTAATGTTATGCTATTTGTGCTTAGCGTATTTTTAGTTGATGTTTTCCTTAGTTCATATCTTAGATGTTATCATTGTTTTTCTTTTACATTTTATTGTTGGATGTGACTGGGACCCTGTGTACATAATTGTGTTTGCATCACATGAGATGCAAACAACAGTAAAGAATCTCTGACTCTGGATTTATGTTTGTATTTTGTTTTGCTCAATAATAGCACATTTTTGGTACTATGACAGGTAGCTAAATCAACAATGTCTCAAAAAAAATTTTTTTTGCGCTATTCAATGCACCGTCATTTTCTCTTCAGTATGAACGGTCAGTTAAAAAAGTTATTTTCTGTCCTCACTACAGGTTACCCAGAGTGCTGTGCTTCTGATTTCCAGCAGCAATGTCACAGAGGAGTGGACAGGAGGACCCGGAGCGGTACCTCTTTGTGGACCGAGCCGTGGTATACAACCCAGCCGCGCAGGCCGACTGGACTGCCAAGAGGCTGGTATGGATCCCATCAGAGCGCCACGGCTTTGAGGCTGCAAGTATTCGTGAGGAGCGTGGAGATGAAGTGGTGGTGGAGCTTGCAGAAAATGGGAAGAAAGCGATGGTCAACAAGGATGATATCCAGAAAATGAATCCACCCAAGTTCACCAAAGTAGAAGACATGGCTGAACTTACCTGCTTGAACGAGGCATCTGTGCTTCACAACCTCAAAGACAGATACTACTCAGGCCTCATCTATGTAAGTATGAAGAGCACAGTCTTTGAAAAGATCTGATGATAATATCAGTGTAGGAGTTTGTCATCTGCGTCTCTGCAATACTATAACTACAAGGAGTTAATGTTTCTTTGACCAAAGTTAATGTAAATCATAAATGGATAGGTAAATAGATTAAATGGTTGTCACTTACTCCTCACTTTCTGTCAGGCTTATAAGACCATGTGCTTCCTTCTTTTTGAAACTGGCCGAAGGCTCCTTTGGCCCACCCCATGGCAGACTGGACTATCTAGGACTTGTATGAAGGATTGTATCTCTCAACTCAGTGTTTCGCCCACCGTTATTCAAGGAGGGCGCCCCGCCCTGTCAACAGAACCGAGCATGTAATACAGACGCACTAGCTAAAAAGCTATAGATGTAGCGCTCCGCTTCTCTCACGCATCCCCCCCCCCCCCCCCAGTCGACAACTGCCGGCATTACCGTAGTGCCACACAAGCAACACAGACCTGTCTCTGTCTCCAGCCCTGACCTAGGGGAGGCACTGCATCTTGTTTGGTGATTAAGGGTCATGTGAAACCTTTTTATTTATTTAATTCCTTTTTATTTTATTGCTATATTTCTGAATTTTACGTTTTATCATTAGACCACGTTTTTTTCACCAACAAGATTCTCAACTCAGCATGCACTGCTTGAACAAATGCACATCATTCACTGCCTTTCATACTTGAGTTTTAGGCCCAAATCATCTCATATGGAGAAATGATGGCATTACGGTCATTTTGGTCAAATATGCACAATCTCACACAATTTTCCAAGATCTTGTGAGATGTCTTAAAGCTCAGAATACGTGTTGTGGATGACTTTCAGCTACTACAGCATCAAGCTTTAGCTCAATATCTGTAAATCTGTCTAAGTTGTTGGCATTTTTGTTTTTACCAAGGTCACTTAGCTGTGGTGGCCATCTTGAATCAAGATTACTCTAAAATTTAACTTTAAAAGATATTCATCCAAGGATTACTTTCTGGAATTCCATTAAAACCATCTAGATAACCATCTAACAAGATATTTTGACAATAAAATGCACAAAGATGGATAAACACATTATCGCCCGCTTGTTGTCTTTCAGCAGAGTGTAATAAGAATTCCAGACTTCTTGTAAAATGAAGTACATTAAACAATTCAAACAGTCAGATAATAATAATAATGTGTTATGTATTGGCATCATTGCATGTTCCATACAATGGTGACATTGGTTCTCTGCATTTAACCCATCTCACCTGGGATGCACTCCAGTGGAGCAGTGGGCAGCTATTGGGGGCGACCGGGGAGCAACTGGGAATAGGGTGTGCTGCTCAGAGACACCACAACATGTGCAATGGCTGGGGATCGAGCCTGGTGCTTTTGGGTTACGAGTCAGTTGCCCTGCCTCTACCCCATCTCGGCCCCCATCAGGAGAGCCGTGGAAACAGATGATATAAATAACATTAAATCTACAGCAGTTTAGGTTAAACACTTATAAAAACATAATTACAGCTTCAATTAAAGCTCATATTTGTGTTCAATGTGCTGATTTTTAGAGAAGAAAGAAGCTGAAAACCACAAACACACTGCAGTGGAGTCATCATCATCTTCACCATGTCATTCGGACAGGGTCATTATACAGTAGTTTTATACTATATTTTTCTTATAAATATGAAAGCTAAAGGAAATTTCAAGTTCATATATGAAGCAGGTTTTGTTATTTTACAGAGGAAGGACTATTTGTTTGTTCTTGTATAATTATTTATTTTTAAATCCACGGAATGAGAGACACATTTTAGATGTCAAATGTACCTGTACATCATAAAGGGTCAAATTTAGAAGAGCAGGGGAAAAAAGATAAAATTGGTATAAAATCAGATTTCTGAGAGCCCGTATATATTTAATATACGTTTCTGGTTTTGGGGTTGTCGTAGCTCGGTGGTCAGTGCTTCAGTCTTATAATCCTGAGGATGCAGGTTCAAGCCCAGGTTGTGTCAGGAAGGGCGCCGGTGTCAAATTGCTGCCTGCTCCTTCATGCAAGAAAGCGGCTGAAGAAAAACAACTATATTTCAATCTAACCAGGTGGAGTCAGGTCTTCTGGACGGAGTCTTCTTTGTTACGTCTCATGTTTTATCCAAAAGACTTCTTCGTCCAGAGGACCTGACGTAACCTGATTAGATTGATCTACCTGGATTATTGAGCATGCATCAGGACAACTGTGTTGCTGGTTTTAATGACTTGTGTGCATTATTTATTTTGCACACCAGCTATTTTACCAATTGTCTTGGTAAAATAGCTTATAATTGCATAAATACTTTAAGTAAAAGATCAGCAAGAAAAGATCAAAGGAATTCCCTGTGAATAATCATTTTCACTAATTGTGATTACCGGTACTATTTTCTTTCTATAATAGAGCAGTCTTACATCTGAGTCAATATATGTCTCAATTTTATGAACTATAACATTTTATAACATTTACATTTTGGACAAGTTCTGCAGTGGCAATCCATACTTCATTTCTTAGCTGCTTTTTATTATCACTGTAGAGTTGTTAGTGAAAAGGAACACACCTCAGGTCTGTACCTTTAAGACGACTCTATTACAGTAAATCAAATTTAATTCTTTCTAAAAACACATTTTTTCAACACTGATCAGCTGAGATGTTTTGAATTCAAGAAACATAAATGTTTCTCTATAAAAGCTGTCTTGTTTATATTGACAATGGCTAATTTCCCTGTGACTCTTACCCATTGAATGCATTCCTGAAATAGCTAAGGCACGGAGCTGTGGATCCTTTTCTGGTCTTGTACTTAAAGTGTTTAGCTTTTCTTTCTTTTTTTTTAAGGAATACTTTTTTACATGCTCTGCTCATGCTCATCAGCATTTCTTCCTTAATTCAATGTTGTCATCAAACCTGTTATTTAGTCAGTTGTAATAAGGCCAAATCAAGACGTTTTTGTTTTAAGAGTGGCTTAAAACCGGGTTAGAACTGATCCCAAGCCACAGGGAGGCCACTGCTGAGTCACATGCTAACCAAAACAGCTCCGTCTTCACTGATAAGCAACAAACATCTGTCTGCTCAAGTAACTGAACTTTTTATGTATTTTTCAGTTTTGCTTTGTGAAAGCTGATGCTTAATTAACCAGCACATGTCATTTTTGTAGCACTAATACACTAGATTTACATACTGTTTTTTTAAGTTCACTGTTCTTAAGCGTGATGTTGGGGAAACAGCGGGGGGGTATGTCTCAAGAAAAATCTCAGATCGACA